TGGAAAAATAAAATAATTAAAAGCATTCTAAACTAGAATAATGCATAGGCATAGTCATTCTTACGGTCCTGTGACTCCATAGTCCATGTTCCTCCAGGAAAAGTTAGATTTCCGTTGTAATCCAAAAGTAATAATCCATTTTGGGAAAAAGCACGTGTCTGTCCTTGCTCAGTCAAACTCCATCTTTTTTCCAACTTCTACCACTTCCTTCTTCCCAGAATTCCTCATAAGGAACACCCCCTCCTGGGTCTTGTTGTCCCGCCTAACTTTCTCATGGGAGCTTAAGAGTTGTTATCATGTTTTGTGACAGAATTATTTTGACTACGAAAGTCTCTGCTCTCTACTCATCTTAGCAACGAGATAACCAGAGAACGAAACAGCATGTAAAATTTTCCTACCACAGACACAGACATTAAATCAAGATGGATGCTGTCAAGACAATATTATGACTACAAAACCCATTCTAGCATCTCATAAAAACACAGATCATCACAGTAGCAAATGGCAGAAGTGGTGTCCTTATAGAGGCATGCTTGTAAAAACCTGCATCCTGCAAGAATAGTTCTGTGTTCCACCTTCATTTTGCTTAAAATAAAATAATGTTGTTTGTAAGAAACCATAAGAGGATGTTTAAGTATCAACATTTGCTTTGATTTCTCTGCCAGTATTGACCCTTCTGGCACAGAAAATGCCAAGTATTCTTTTGAAGGGACTGATTTATATGGGTTTTTGTTTTATTTTTTGTTTAAACTTCAGTATGATTTTGTGTTTTGATTCTATATTGTGAAAGATGACAGAGAAAGCCATTAGTGGTGTGTCAGATTTATTTAGTATGTATTCTGGTTTTGCTAATGTCTTTATTGGATAAAAAGCTGCAAACAGGTGGAGGCAAGTCCACAAAATGCTACCAGAAGCAGTGGCCATTCCTCTGGGGATTGCCAATTCAGTGAAAAACAAAGGTATTAAAGTATCAGTTTATTGTCTTTCCCCTTACAAAAACGGCTTTCTACTTTTCATTGTGTTCTAAGATTAGGGAGGCTTTCGATTAAACTGTTAAATTCTGTTCACTGTCATTCGCATGTCTTGAAAAACAGCTCTCACAACTGTTTCTGTTTGGATGAGAAGTGGTTAAGTGATGAAAAAAGGAGTCAGCTTCTAAGATTTTTCCCTTCTGCTGTATCACTTTGTAAATGGTACTGAGTAGAGATGGGGACGACTCACCATTTTGGCAAGTCATTCTGTCAACTTCTGATGACTCACGAAGTGTGAAGTTGCCCCAATGAAGAGACGAATAACGAAGATATTCAATTCGGGGGGGGATGTTATTAAAAAACTGCCCCACCCGCTGCCACCCACCACCCCTTAACCTTAGCATTCATGGGGGTCTCTGGAACCCACGAATATGAAGGGACAAATACTTAACAGATCAGTGATTTTCCACAAATATCGCAATTCCTATTTTTATTCATCCCCGTGTCTAGAGTGACCACAAGAGGTCCCCAAACTTTTTTGAACCATGGACCAGTTTAACGAGCAGGGGGATGGGGGGATCCGTGTGTGCATGGGGGGCATGCATGAGAGGGGCGGGAGATCTGTCTATACGGCCCAGTCCTGCCAAGGCCACGGCCCCGGGGATTGGGGACCCTGGCTGTAGACCATCTTGACTGCTGCCATTGGTGTTGTCAACATTCAGGCTGCCCCTGCCCTATCCTATGTAATGCTTGGCATCTTTTTTCCTGATGGCAATGCAGGCACAATAGTTTGCAGCAATATCTGGCCATTTCCTGGCTTTTTGAATTGTGGGTACGGAAGCACAATCTCCCACATTCACAAGCCAAAGGATTTTTTTTATAAAGAATTGAATATAATTATTATTCTCCACTGTGCCTCCTTGGAAAGGGCTGGGCTTGATGATCCATTGGGTCTCTTCCAGCTCTGTTCTGAGATTATTATTGTTATAAGCTAGTGTTTGCCAAGGTATGCGCTGCGACGCCTAGGGACCCTGTGAAACCTGGCCAGAGGCACCGTGTGATCCTTAGAATTTCAGGTGCCCCTGGCCTGGTCTAGCCTTCTGCCTCTGTCACATCAGCCCCACGTGGGCCCCTTTCTGAGGGCCCCACCTCTGCCGCACACAGTCCTGCCTCTCTGGGAAAACGTCACTTGTTTGCAACTTTTTATCCAGTAAAGATATTGCTCAAGCCAAAACACATGTAACATATTACATACAAACACACTCCTGCTTGTTTTCAGTTAGTTAACTGGACCACTTTCAAGGTCTGCTAAATTAGTACCTTATGTTTGTTTCCTGGCTACAGTGAGCAGAGTGATGAACTCTGACTCAGGTGACTTGGGTTTGACTCCTCACCTGGCCATGGAAACTCACAAGGCCGAGTACTGGTGAATCCACTCCTCAAATACCTCATTTACCTTGGAAGCCCTGTTAGAGTCATACTCTTGCTTCCCACTTGGTGACACAAGACACACACATTTTTTTCCCTAGCCGTGTGTGCCTCAAAGGGAGAGAAAGGCCTGAATAGCAATGGGCACTATCAGGTGGGGGCCCAAAAAAGATGGAACAAACATTTTTCCTGTCATTGTAGTGGTTCTTTGGGTGGTTATTTGCGATGGAGAACATGGGCAGGAAAGATAGCATGTCTGCTTTGGCCAAGGGTAAGAAATATTTGGAGAGGACTGCAACTCCCAGAATCCAACAGAAATTGTGGAATTCTGAGAGTTACAGATCAAAAAAACCAGGACCCAGCGTGGTGCAGGAAATGAAAGTTTAACAGAAAATGTGGAGAAGAATTGTCCACTTCACAAAGACACACACAAACCCCACCATTGGTTACAAAATCCTCTTCTTCAGTAAGATATTTTCACTTTCCTAGAATTTTCTTTTATCTGGTTAAGTAATTCCAGGACTCAACATTATCTAGTTTGTAGCCCTTTCAATATTATTTCAAATAAGCAGACTTCTTGTTTCAAATAACTGTGCACTCTTTTCCCATTCCATGGGAGTTAACACACAGCAAACAAAAGCAAAGCATGCTGCTTATATACCACTCCATAGTGAGTGGTTTACAATTTATTTATGCAGGCTACACGTTACCACCACCCCCGACGAAGCTAGGTACTCAGTTTACTGACCTTGGAAGGGTGGAAGGCTGAGAACTTCAAGCCGGCTAACTGGGATTGAACCTGGAACATGAGCAGAGTTTTGGCTGCAGTACAGGGGTCTAACCACTATGCCACAGATGTCAAAATAAACACTACTGCCAAGTTGATCAGACCCAGAACAATATCTGACTGATTTGCCAAAAAATGTCCAGAAAGTGAACGCATAAGTCTTCTGGATTTCTTACAGTATCTTACCTAATTCTCTGATTCTCCTGGCTGGCTCCAAGTAAAATTCAGAAGCCTGTGTTCTTCACAGCTGCCCACGTGCCTAGGCCAGAATGGGTGTGAGAACTAGCAGAACTTGACACTCCTCTTTTCTAAAGGATGCAGGAACAAAACACGTCTTCACATAAAAAACTAAGACTTCAGGATGAAGGGTAGATGTGCTCGTTTTTTACATGAAGCGTTTGGTGTGAAGGCAGGCTCAGCCATCCAGAACTCTTCTCTACAGTCTGAAAGTGGCACAGGCAACACGTTTTGTTGAGAATTAGGCTGAAGTCTCAGGGAGCAAACACAGTCTTTGTTCTTCAAATAAAGCATGCTTTGGATCTGACCCTGCTGATGCTGGTGCTTTTTTGTCTCCAGGACAGGATGTAGAGTAACAGAACAGGCACCTGTCTTGCCTGGCTAATATTTCTGCTCAGAGTAACCTAGGAGGTAGAGGCACTGATAAAGAATTCATCTTTTTCTTAGCTTGCTTGGCGTTTTTGTGTGTTAGGCATGAGAGTGTAGGGACATTTGATGTCAGAGGTGAAGGAGGGAGGAGACTGAATTTTACTTTAGGTGTGCTAATTAGATTTTTATTGGGAGCTTTTGCATATGTTGCCACTGATACCTTGTCTCAAACATTCAAAACAGAATGGGTAACAAGTTTAGGTGAATCGAATTCACCTAATCAGGGCACTATCCAGAGGTGGAGCTGGAGCTGGGGCTTTCTCACAATGGTGGGATAAGCACAACATTTCTCCTTGAATTAACTTTACACATAGAGTAAGAATGCAAAATTATAGGCTGTGAAGCCAAATTCCTCCTTCCTGGGATCCTAGTCTTACCTTTGGGCTTTTCCATAGAACACCCCCCCCCTTTATTTATGGTTTCCCAGCTTTTGTAGGTTCCCCCAACCTGTAAGTCTGAAATACCTCCTCTGGGGTTTAGATAGATACTGACAGCAAAAAAGTTTTAAGTCAACTTTTGCTAGTGTTTTGGCCCTACCCTTTGGGGTTAAACGAAAAGAAAAGTTTGCTGCAGTCCAGCTACTTAAACTGATTTATTTGGTGTAAGAAGTTACACATGCTTTGCATGCCAGCCCAGCGGCAATGTTTTTGCCACTTCACATGACTCCTGTTTTTGATACATCTGTGCTTAAAAGCAGATGGAGTTGTTTTGATGGGGTGGGTGGGACACATCTTATTTCCTGCTTCTCATAAGAAATCTGTTGCATCGCAGCCTACACTCTGGAATGTGGGTTTCTTTCTCCCAGCTCATCTATCTGGGGTGATCTCTTTCGGTAGTACAATCTTTGGCCTCTTCCTTAGGAAATCTGATCTTTCAAACCCAGATGACCTCCTTGTGCAAATTGTCCTAGGCTTCATTTCCAGGAGTTAGCAGGTAACCATTTCATTCACCATATCTTAATTACACCTGGCAATGAGAAAAATTGAACTGAATGTAGTATATTAGATTTCAAATACATTTACCAATTTTTAAACAAGGATTTGTTTAAAATCAAAGTTTGAAAATATACCTATTACATATAAAGACACATGTAGAATATTTGTTATTAAATTAAATATAAGGAGACTGATGGACAGAAGCAGTTCCAACTGGATGTTGAGTTGGAAGGGGGAACTGTTACAGAACCATCTACTCTGACCCCCTGCCAGTGCAAGATGTCTGCAGCTAGAGCATCCAACTTCTGATTAATAACCTCCAATGATGAAACGTCCACCGCCTTTTATATTAGTCCATTCCACTGATAAACAGCTTAGTTGGAAACTTTTTTATAATGTTTAGTTGAAATCTTTTTGGTAATTTGAGTTTGTGCCAAAACTAAATCAGAAGCTTCATTACCTGACTCTTAAAACCAACATGCATTTCATGCAATCAGCAGTGTAATTCCTGCATCCCCTTATTTATTCCTCCTTCCCAGAAGAGCTTATTACTCTTTCATATCTTTCAAAAAAACCAGTTTTATACAGCCTCTCCACATCATATGATGGTTCTATGGATCTAATGCTGTCAAAAGTCAGCTTTCCATGTTCATGTCTGGCAAGAGGGCCTGATGAAATGGAACAGAAATGCAACTGGCTTCAGAGAGCATCTGGTCTTAAACTAACAGGTTTTTCTTTGCAGATGTGAATCAGAGCTTTGGATTTATTCCTGCATTAACAGGCGCAAATAGGATTCGATCTGAAGAGAATGAAGCTCCAGAAGTAAACAGTAATTTTTATTTCTTTTTGTATTATTTTTTTTCCTTCATTCAACTTTTACTTTAATGGCTGATGGTCTCTTCTGGCTTCTATTGTCCATCCTCTTCAGAAGATATTAAAACTACTCAGCTTGTATATCCTCCCTCTGGTTTTTTTACCAATCATTGTCTATATTGTCATCACAGCTTTAAGGGTTAGAAACTTAGGTTGCTCTTTTAAAAAAAATTATTGTAATCTCATGTTCTATGGACATCAATGCTTTATGTGATCCAGATTTTCCTCTTTTCCACAGTCTGTCAAATTGTCAAATTAACTCTGCTCTGCCCAGATTTCCAGAAGAATTTCCCAGAAGTTACTGCCATCACCTGCCCGTGATAGCCCTGGGAAACAGCTCACCATAGATCAGGCTGGAGTTTTCCGCTGTCTTTGTGTGCAGATGTTTTTGGATCTAACTTGCTTTTTTCTTCTCTTTTAGCCAAATCCCTTACCAGCAGAGAGAGCCGACTCCACGGTGGACACAGGAGAAGATGTAGCTGATGCAAACGGTTTTCAGGCTGACTCCACGGCTGGTAAGAGATGTCTTTGTTTCTTAGGAAGAGGTCAGGAGGCATGACCTCCTCCATATGCACCCTACTAACTCGTTATACTAAGTAGAACCATTAAGAACTAGGAAATGTTGGAAGTGTGGGTGTGTTTGGGGCCAAACTCCTGTACAAGAAAATATCACCTAACTTAAAGCCATTTTTCTGTTGCTGCTTCTTGTAGATCCCATGCTCGATATGGACATTCAAGAACTTGCTAGTCTCACTTCAGCAGAAGGAGATTTAGAGAACTTTGAGCGCCTGTTCTCCAAGCTGAAGGAAATGAAAGGTACCACCCTGAACTGTTTGCCAAACCTCAGAAAACAGTGTGCTTTCCTTCTCTGTTTGCCATGCCCACTATGAAGAGGCTAAGGCTCTCACACGTCACTCTGCCAAGGTTCCTTACTACTTCCACAGAGGAATGGAGAAATGTAAGGAGCAATTTGTCTTTCTCCTCCCAGTCTGGCACCTGCTATGCTGCTGTTGCAGTATGACAGGCAGAAAGAGTGCTGGAAAATGTAGCTTTACCAGTACTACTGACATGTGCGTGGCCATGAGGAAAAGGGCATCAGCTAGTGTTCCTTTTGCCTGATAATGCTGATATAGCAGCACCATAAGCATCTTGAAGGATGGAAGTGCTTGCCACCCATTTCTCTGCAACACTGAAATGAAGCAAGAGAGGAGGAATGGAAATGGAGGATCATGTACCCTGTCCTCAGCTTATTTTAACAGCTATATAAAAATCTGCCTTCTGGTTATGTTAACAGCTGCCAAGAACTTTAGATCCCATAATACTAGCATTATATTTTTAGGTGAACATTACAAGCCACCCAAATTCATATTTTTTTTCCTGCAAGAAAACAGAAATCTTGCATTCCTCACTGTCTTGAGACTTAGGAGTTGGATGCAGTAAAAATCTGGATTAAAATAGACCAAATAAACTGCTGTTACTAACTGGGACCATGCCCAGGTCCCACCTAGAAAACATGAGGACACGATGACTTGTACCTTGCAGACTGGATTTGGCTTGAGTGGCACAGGAAGAACATGCCAGCCTTTGACCAATTGGAATTGTGAGATGTGTCTGCAGCTGATGAAGCAGTCTAAGTATCTTATGATGATTACACTGAGTTTCCATCAGCCAAACCAGGATCTGGCCTCTGGAGCCACAAAAGATGTAGTTTCCTTAAGACCAAGGCATGGGGAAATGCCTAATAAGATGAAGAGAGCAGGCACTGAAGAGGCCAGGGCAACATGCACAAGAAAGAGGAGAGATGAGATTTGTTGGAACAGCTGCTCGGGAGGTATGGAGAACATTGAAAACTGAAAGTGCAGTGGATTTGCTGGCTGCCAAGAACTGATGAAGAAGGGAAGGGAGAACACAGATTTAGTTAAGGCCTAGAGGACCATAAAGCAGGCTGACCACCGAAGAACTGATGCTTTTGAATTGTGGTGCTGGAGAACAAACCTATCCATTCTAAAGGAAATCAATCCTGAGTGCTCACTGGAAGGACAGATCCTGAAGCTGAGGTTCCAATACTTTGGTCATCTCATGAGAAGAGAAGAGTCCCTGGAAAAGACCCTGATGTTGGGAAAGTGTGAAGGCAAGAGGAGAAGGGGACGACTGAGGATGAGATGGTTGGACAGCGTCACCAAAGTGACCAACATGAATTTGACCCAACTCTGGGAGGCAATGGAAGACAGGACAGGAGGGCCTGGCGTCTTGTGGTCCATGGGGTCACAAAGAGTCGGACACGACTAAACAACTAAACAACAACAAAGAGGAGGACTAGAAGTCAGTCAGTTTTCCCCTTTTGAGTACCTGTAGCCAGCCGTCTTGCAATAAGAGAGGGCCCAAGTTGTGAGGCCCCCCTGTTTCTTCTCTTCCCATGCTCTGCCAACTTCATTTGGAAAGGCAGAGATTGAGTCTGATCCATAAAGCTTTTTCTCAGGGCACTAAATCAAGAAGAGGAGGGGATTAATTTCCACATTCTGCAAGCCACTACCCTCTGCAGGCCTCGCTGTGGACAAGGTGGAAGTTGGTGTGCCTAAAGTGTGTGTATGCCTTCTGGTTGTGTAACTCTACACAGTGCTGGTCCTTCATGCCTGAATGAGGTATATGTTGGAGAAGCACATCTGGTTGCTTATTAAGGGCAGTTCTTTAGTTCTTTGTGGCATATAAATTTGGTGCATTCCACTTCTGTACCAAATGTAGGAGCAGTTTGGGGAAGGGCTTCTGATGAGAATGGTTACAATGCCAAGTTTCTCTTCCATTTTCTTTGTGTCTTTCTTTGAGTTAGATCTCTTCTGCCTATATCTGTCCAACTGGAAAATGCCCCTTCCTAAAGGTAATATTTATTTCCTTTTTGTCCCCGCAGAAAAGGCATCAACACTGCCTCATGAACAAAGAAAATTACATGCAGAAAAGGTGAGTATTCCAGAATGGCAGGAAGTCTAAAACATGTAAGTGTTAAATGCACCCTTTCTGTTTAAAGTAGAAAATTCCACTATAAGCATCATGACCAGATGGCAACAGATATTTGTGTGATGACTGCAGAGCAGAGCAGGGAATCACAGTTTATTCCTGGGGCAGAGCAAAACCATAGTGGGTTCTTTGTGTCCTGTTTGGCATTTGTAGGGTTAAAAAGATGGTCAGCGAGACAAAGTTTTTGGTGTCAGAGGGGAAGATGGGTAGCAGCTGAACCATCCAATAAAGCCCCAAATTCATGCATTCTTTCTGCAGTCAGCATTAGGGAGAGCTCAGATTGAAATCCCCGTGCATATTTTCCCTTTCCCTTGCAGTCACTCTGACACTTTGTAGAGGTGTGGGATGAAGAGGAGTTATGTTGCTTTTCAGATAGTTATGAGATAACTTACGCTAAACATTGCTGAATGTGGCTTATGGCAGACATTTTTTGTTAAAAATGTCACTTAAAAATAAACTTCTTTTCGTTAAATGTCATTTAGGTGCAGAGTCCATATTGCTCCGCTAATTCATGAAAATTCTAACACTAGACATTTGTTACACGTTTGTAGTCTGAGGATGTTTCAGGTAGGGCGTGAAGATCGGCAGAGGCTTTCCTTGTTCTTACTGACTCTCAACTCACAGGTTGCCAAAGCCTTCTGGACAGCCATTGGAGGAGACCGGGATGAGATTGAAAGCCTATCTTCTGAGGAGGACAACTGAGGGCTCCTGGATGCTGTGATGTGGAACACATGGAGATTATTGTGCAGCAAGTACCTCCAGTTACTGACTGCCATAGTGATTTCTCTTTGACTAGGATATAGTTTTTTGCAGTGGGTACAAGAAAGAAGACTATGCCTTGGTTATGCTGTTAAATCCCCGGCACTGATATGTAGATGGTTGTTTTGTTTGGATTCGTCACTCTAGACTTAGGTTGTCAAGTCAACAAAGCAGCCGATGTATCTGGTAATCCTCTTGCAGCTCAAAGAAAAAGAAAAGAAAATTGCTGCACAGTCTCTCTCTCTCTGCAGCATTTTCATTTGTGGATCTTTTCTCCTGGGTTCTTTTTATCTCCATTTCAGAAAAAAGGCCAACATCTAGGGTGGGGAAAGGGGCTTACCAATGGAAAGCCTCCCTCCCGTGCACACACCTTCAGCTATGGTAGGTGAGAAGGAAAGATGTGATCTTTCTGGAAATACATGTACATGAAAAACCATATTGGGAACAGAAATGGTACCTTGCAATTTTTATTCTGAATCATTTGTTTTGAATGTTTATTTTGACTGGATGTTTCCAGTGATCCCTACGTACATCCCTTCCCCATGCAGCTGAAATAAATATATATATTT